CTCTTTGCAAAGGAAAAGATCTTTTCATAATATTCAAACTCGTTAAATTTACTTTGTTTAATTGTTAATCTTAGTCATTTCTTTCTGCTTTAATTTAGTCTTAACCTTTGCAATCGTATCGACATTATTCTACTTTTATTTTACTTGCAATTTAGATAAAATTTTGCAAGTTTAATTTAAAGAATTTAACTTTCTTCCTGGGATCAATACTGGGGTTTTTAAAAAAATCCTATATTACTTGAAACGATACACATACTTGCACATTATCTCTAGTGTGAAGTTTTATTATTTATTTTTTATATCATTTCATTTATTTACACTAGCCACTGAATATAAATTGGGACAAGTTTTTGGCAGTATTTTGGAGATTAAAAATACATGTAATTTCATGCTGGGTCAAGTTTTTGGCGTCATTGACGGGGAAAGTAACGAAACTTTTTAAATTAGGAAAGTAACAGAACTTTTTAAACTATAATTTTATTTGAAATGTGGATTTTGTTTTAGTAAAATTAAAAAACTGAAAAATCCAAAAATAAAAAATAAAAAGATATCCGAAAATTAAAAATCTATTTTATTTCTATTGTGTTTTTTTTCTGAACTTTTATCATTTGTATGCGTAGTTCAGGATCTGAATGTTTAGGGCCTTACGATTATAAATTAGAACGTACTATAAGAAAAATTTGAAAACAAGAAAGACTTTATAATTTTTCAGATATGAAAAACACTTCACTAAATATTATTGAGATTCAAAATGCTGAAAAAGAACATCATAATTTACAAAAAACCTTTAAGGGATTATGCAAATCCACAATAGATGAAATTCATTTAAGTATTCAAACTCCTGCTATAAACTCTTGCTGAAACGACAAACTCATTTGAACTTAAACCTACAATTATACAAATGATACAAACAATTAACTTTGGTGAACACCATGTGAGGATCCAAATTTATATTTAGCAAGTTTTTTAGAACTGTGTGCTACATTTAAATATGATGGTGTATTAAATGATGTTGTTAGAATTAAACTTTTTCCTTTTTTATTAAGGGAAAAAACTAAGATGTGGTTAAATTTGTTAGCACCTAGATCTATTAGAATTTGGAGAGATTTGACACAAAAATTCCTAGCTAAGTATTTTCCACCTTCAAAAACTGCTAAGCTTAGAAATGACATTACATCTTTTACTCAGTATGAAGGGGAGTCAATTTATGAAGCTTGGGAAGTGTCCACATCATGCTTTACGAGACTGGTTAATCATTCAAATTTTTTATAATGAGTTAGTATGAACCTTTAGATCCATCATAGATGCTACTGCTAGTTGTTCATTAATGTTTAAACCATTTGATGAAGCCTATGCTTTATTTGAAGAAATGATTACAAATAATTTTCAATGGCCTTCTGAATAGGTAAATCCTAAGAAAGTAGCTAGTAGTCATGATAATGATGCTATTTCAATGGTTATTTCTAAAGTTGTTGTATTATCTAGAAAAATAGAGCAAATTGGAATGAATTTTTCTCAAACACTTCATTTGATTGAAGAAAATTCATTATCACAAATGCTTGATTTTCAAACTTCATTAGAATCTATAAACGTTATAAATTAACCCAATAACCCATATTCTAATTATTATAACCTAGGTTGGAAAAACCATCCAAATTTTATCTTGAATAAAAATTCTAGTGCTGGAAGTCAACAACGGAGGAACAATCAAGTAAACCCATTAGGAAACAGGAACAATCAGGGTAATTCTAACTTTAGACAAACTTATCCTCTTGGATTTAACATTAATCAACCAGTTAAGGAGAAGAATTTGTTTATAGAAGAAGTGGTGTTACGAGTAAGTAATCAATTATAAAGTCAAAGTGGTGCTATTTAAAACATAGAGAATCAAATAGAACAAATTGCTAACGCATTTAACAATACACCTTAGGGAACAATTCCTAGTAATGTGGAGATCAATATGAAAGATAAAAGTAAAAAAGCAAGAGAAAGTTAAAAGTGTCCAACTAAGAAGTGGAAATGAATTGAGTGTCAGTGTTCAAAAAGAAATTGAAGTTGAGAGAGAAGATAAATAAACTGAAAAACCTGAAGAAAGTATTCCTAAGGAAGTGGAAACAACCATTTATCCAACTAAGAATAATTTAGAAAGACTAGCACCTCTTTTTCCTCAAAAGACTTAGACAACAGAAACTCGATCAACAATTTTCAAGATTTTTTGAGATATTTAAAAAGCTTACCATTAATATTCCTTTTGTAGAAGCTTCGGAACAAATTCCAAGTTATGCTAAGTTTATGAAAGAAATTTTAAATAAAAAAAGGAAGTTTGAAGATCATGAAACTGTTGCACTTAATGAAGAGTGTCAAACAATAATTCAGAAAAAGCTTCCTTAAAAACTCAAAGATCCTGGTTGTTCCACCATACCTTTTGCAATTGGAGAAAAATTTTATAGAAAAGTTTTATGTGATTTGGGAGCAAGCATTAATCTCATGCCATTATCTATATTTAGAAGAATAGGTTTAGGAGACATTTCTCTTACTACTGCAACACTACAATTAACTGATCAATCTACCACTTATCCTAAAGGAGTTATAGAAGATGTGCTGGTTAAACTGGATAAATTTATCTTCCCTGTTGATTTCATTGTGTTGGATATGGAAGAAGATAAAGAAATTCCTGTTATTCTAGGGAGACCTTTCCTAGCTACTGGACGTGCAATGAGAGATGTGCAAAAAGGAGAATTATCTATGAGAGATAATGATCAAGAAGTAGCATTTAATGTACTCAAATCAATGAAGTATCTTGATAAAGGAAAAGACATTAAATGTTACAAAATGGATATAAATGATTATATGATTGTTATTCTTTTTCAAGAAAGATGTGAAGTCATATCAATTCAAAAAATGAAGTAACTTTTAGATATTACTTGAAATAGTAAACATTTGATACCATCAATTGAAAAACCTTCTGAACTTGAGAAGAAGGTTCTACCTACTCATTTAAAGTATGCATTTTTGGGGAACTCATTTATATTACCTGTTATTATGTCCTTAGACCGAACTGTAGGACAAGAAAGAACTGCAGGACAAGAAAAAAAATTATTGGAGACATTAAAAAATCATAAAAAACCTTTTGATGGACATTAGATAATATTAAAGAAATCAGTCCTTCAATCTGTATGCACTGAATTTTAATGGAAGATAATTATAAGCCTAGAATTGATCCTGAAAGAAGATTAAATTCTATAATGAAAGATGTTGAATCAACACTTATGCAAAAACCTCATATGCCTCACAAATGTCCCTATCAAGATGTTATTATGGTAATCTTGTTACAAGTTATGTGATCAACCATCTAAAGTGAAATATATGTCATAACCAATTTAAGTTAAGTTGAATCACAAACATCTCAATTAGGATTGTATTATGAAGAAATTTAATCACATTGTAACCCTTAAATTCACATCCCCATGTAAATTCACACTTGATACATAAAAGAACCTATCTTGGCACTCCCATCTTTATCTTTTTTTATTGCACAATAAAACATTCCCAATGGCTTGAATATTAATTATTTTTAATTAATTTACTTTAAACAAAGAATGCTATTTAATTGGGTCGATCTCAATAAATTTCCCCCTTAATGCATTAAAAAATTGATATTGCTCTTTTTATTTTTTTCTCAAATGTCCATCCATTCACTTTCTCTATGCTAATTCCATTCTCAAATGCAAAATGTTAATTAATTATAACTTAACATTTGATAATGACATTTTAGTAATTTATTTAGGTGTTCGCAATTTGTAGAGCAAAATCATTTTAGATTGCATTAATCAACATTAAAAACCCGAATATGTTTTTGAGTACAACTATCCAAGAATACATAACTCCAAACTTATCAATATAATTAGGTTACTTAAAGATGGTTAACTAAATACTTTACAAAGTTATAATTAGCATGGATAACTTAATGCGCTTAAACTTAGGATTTGTTTAGAATGGTTGTAGCTTTTAAAAATAATGGTTGTAAAATTATGGTGAAGAAAAGAATTACATAGAAAGTTGCAGTGAAAATTATAATTACATATTTTCTTAAAATATTAATACGAGTCAATATATGATGCAGGTTTATAATGAGATGTTTAAAACCCAACTAAGGTTGTAGCACGAATCTTAGAATAGGCAGTTATAATACATGTTGTTTTGTGATGTAGATTTCGATGTAGATGGCTACAAATATGTGTGATTATGACACATGCCATAAAATAAATGACTTTGGCAAAATAAAAATTCATGGGTTAGTTTGGAAGAAGATAACTACACTGCAAGCAAGATTATGACTTCTATTTTAAGTAGTTTTCTACCATGTAAATGATATAGCATAAGTGAGTTTATTGCGTATGACTAGGAGCCAACCCTTAAGTAAGAATGACTGGGAGCATGGCTCATAAAGGAGATGATTATGGTAGAAGTATGACTATAACACAAAAAAAATAATTTTGCACTATAAAAACTTCTAGAAAATAAGAAAAAACAAATTTTCAAATAAAATTATAATGATGATCTTAAATGCAAATAGAGAAAATTGTCCCAAACCAACAATTAATCTGAAACAGGGTCTAGTACGTCCATCTTCAACATGAGATCTACATGCTAAAACCCTTAGCGGTGTGTCTGCAGCGCCGAATATACTTTTAATAAGACTTATCAAATTCGATAAGTCCGATGATGCAATTAACAACGGCCTAAATTTAATAAATCTGAATAAAGGAGAAAATGATTTAAGGGAGAGTTGGATATAATATAATATAATATAATATAATATAATATAATATAATATAATATATTTATTTATTGATTTTTTTTTGTGGTCGGGTGAATATGGGTTAAATCCATTGCTATATCGTACGAAGCAACCGTTTTCGACCACCTTATAAATTCATGGAGAGGGCCACACTGTCGAGCAGGGGGAGAAGGGTCGGCCGCCAGCGCGTCTTTTTGACATGGCAATCCTAGAGCCGGCTCCTTCCCCTCCCCCTCCTCCGGCAGCCGGCGGGTCCCCTGCCTCTAACGATTCCAGAGATCCTATCGCCTCTGATTCGCCGTTGGACGATACTGAAACCCAAGACCGCCTTGAAGACTGCGAGCCGGTGCACGCGGGTTCACGCCATGTTACCGAAGACAATTCGCGTTCTTCTTGTGCTGCCTCCCTTCATCATGCTCTATTTGATAAGATCGTGCGGCAGGTGATTCTTATGCGAACCCTTTCTTCAACTTGTTCTTGTGAATGTAGTTTCACTTTCATGTTCTATCAATGATTATTCTTCTCTAATGACATTGGGATGTAATTTTTTCCGGTTTGTTATGATTTTGTGTGACTTTATCACTGGCGCTTTTACAGGTTGAATATTACTTCAGTGACGAAAATCTTCCCAACGATGTTTTTCTGTTGAAGCATGTGAGGAAGGACAAGGAGGGGTATGGTAAGACTGAAAAATTGAACCTATGTTCTCTCACTTTTATTATTATTATTATTATTTGGGGTCAGCCTGTTGAATCTCCTTGGAGACTTTATTGAGACAAAAATTTTGTTGGGCGAAGATCTTGTTATGCTGGGAAAGACATCGCCAAATATCAGAGAAAATGCGCTAGAATTTAACTTCCAAACGTTTATTCTTTCCAAGGACATGTGTCAATATTGGCAAATTCAGTTCTTCTGTTTAATCTTTACCTGATTATTAGGGTTGTCATAAGAACAGTTGGTCCGTGAAGTGTCATTTGCTCCACAATTGTTTGTGTTGAGTTTGCACATTAAGTAATCATAACATGATTGATCAAAACTTATTGGCTTTTGTATTCAACTAGTCAAACACAAATACGAACAAGGCAACCTGTAGGAACTTATGTGTGCATGTGCATATGTGTGTGTATATATGCACCTCCACATGCACCCAAACATGGTGAAGTTATTTTTTATTCATGTAATTTACTGTAAAAATGGATGAATATATGTTAATGATAATGGATCACTTTAATTTCTGTGACGCTCAAGGTAAGTTGTACTGTGAATAACTAAAATTTTATTTTGCATTGAATCATCAAACAAAACTTTGTTGATGCATTTTTGGTTTTTTTAACTTTGCTCATTGTTAATGTTTGGCTTGATCATATGTGAATTATGTTTCTTACAATATTGAATCCTAGTCATTCACTTTATTTAATTTGATGATTTCAATTCATTTTTTTTTATTTTCTTTGGAAGTGAGAAGATCTTTTTTGTTTTATCCAACCGTTTAGCTCACTAAATTAAATTATTTGATTATTTATTTTTTTATTGTTAAAGGGATGAAATTTATAATTTCTCTGAGAAAAAAACTTCTCCTCTTCACCTCTCTAAATTCTGACCGAAAAAACTCTTCTCCTTTCTTGCGTAAGTTTAAAACCATCTACTAATTAAAGTGATTCTACTAGGCCCAATCCACCTGCTAAGTGCCATTTGATATTTTGCCCCTAATTATAAAATGTAACATGAAAAGAAACCATTCAAATTCCTTCACCACTTCTTGTCTTCTGCTGCTTACGTTTCTCGGCTTGTTTATTCATGTGCTCTTTGGTTTCTATCCAAAAGTTACAAGCCTTTTCAAAACCCTTTTGCCAACCTTTTTTTGTCTTTATGCCATCTGATTCTTCTTTTGAAACCTATCTTCATCTTCAACAGTTGAAGGTCCATTTGAATTCACTATTTGATTTCTTGCTTTTATTGACCATCTCCATGTTTCTATTGCTCTTCTCACAGGCATCAGATCCAATTCCTTGACGAATCCATTACTTCTCTCACCTTGAATCTAATTTCTAGACTCTTGCTTTACACTAAGTGAGCACCCCCTTTTTCAGTTTCTTTTTTTCTTCCTTTCCTCTTTTTGTTCCTCCTCTTTTTTAGATGTATTGAATCAATAACCATGAACTATTTAGATAATTGATGATAAGAATTATGGGTCATTGCATTTTTTCAAATTTATAATATTTATTGAGTTGTAGCATAGAAGTCCTGTCCTGTGCTTTTCTTGCATTTGTTGAATCTTAGGCGTTGTTTGGCTGCAAGCAGGATTTAATTTTAGGATTTCTATCGTTTGTTAGCTTGAATCATACCTTCATTTGATTGAGTTTATTTGAGGATTTCTGATTACTAGAATATTGAACTAGATTTTCGTTTACAATATACTCATTATTTACTTGATAAAATTTGCTTTCTTTTCATATAAGTGACTTGTTTAGGCTTAGTTTTGTTCTTTCATGCTAAATGCTTAAAAGAGCCTTCCAACAAAAATGATAGTAAGGTAGCTTATTATCTTTCATAATTCTTATTTAGGTGTAAGATTCTAGATTCTCTATTAATATTTGTTGATATCCTTATGAAAATTTGTAAGAACAATAAACATTCTTAACCTAAATGTTTAGGGGCCTTGAAATTAATTGATATATTTAAGTTTTTGTAGCAAGAAGGCATACAATGAAAACTTGATATGAAAACAAATTTTTAATATGACAACAAATTTCAATACAAAAAAGTCATGTTCTTTGCCGCCTCTTCTTCACTTCAACAAGTTGGCTGCAATTGGAATTTATTAAATATTTAAAATAGAATGATTCCTTTTCCTTAATTTTATTAATATCAATTTATAAAAAATAAATAGAGAACAACTGAATATTTTCTCTTCCCGCCAAACTTATGACCAGGATTCAATATGCACTTTAATTAAATGTTGAATTACATTAAAGAGATTGTAATGCAGATAATTTCAGTGTTTTTCTTTTTCATGGGTTCTTAGTTTGTTTTCTATATGAAAAAAAGTTTCACACTAGTCATATCAAATATTGTATTATTTTTTATGTGATTTCACTAATTATAATGACTCTTTAGTCTATTTTGGTTTTTTTCCTTAAATAAGAAGTTCATGGGAAGAAGTCATTTCTCTTTGAAGCAGGAGAAAATATTATGGAAATTTGAAAGTTCATAAGATTTTATAGTATTTAATTTGTTAATCAAGAGAGCATTCCTCTATTGAAGTAGAAGACTTTTCTAATATAGATTTACATAATTGGTATTTATTTCTTGTAGGAATTACAATCGAAGAAATGCTCAGATGATACTTATGTTTTATCTTATTTAGTTTGTTTTTAAAGTGTGCAATTCACTAACAAAAAAAAAAAAAAAAAGAAAAGGAAAAAGAAATAGAAACCATTGCAATTTAACTGATTAGCATAGAGCTTCTCCCCACCTCCACAAATAGCTGTGTAGTGATGCATTCTAGCAGCGAGTTCCAAAGCGGCTTCCCTCATTTCCTTCACAAGTTGTTGGACACCTTCCAACAAGTTCACTAGCAAGAAGAATCAATAGTCAACTACATGTGTTATTCAGTTGAATTATAATTTATTTTTTGGCTGGTTGAATTGCAATATGTAATTCATTTCTGAGACAAATTAAATGTGAAAAAAAAATGTAAGTGTCATCTAAACTTTATTTTGACCTTAATTGTGGCACCAATTATGCAAATTCATGTTGAAGAGCTTTTATGACAAAATTGAAAGTCGAGTCTCTTGATGAACAAATGTAATAGTATAAAATTTGTAGAATCTTTTTCTTGTCATCATTTTAATTCTTTTGCATAAAAGAGAAATGCCTTTTTCCCATGAGATATCTATTATAGGCAAAGAATGGATCTTATGCCTATTATGTTTGTGGGATTTTGATAAGATCAAAAGGAAGGGGACTTAATATGAACTAAAGAGCCACTGCAAACTACACTAAAAAGAAAGAAGATTTATTGCTATCAATGTTGGAATTTCTTTTAGAAGAAGAATAAGCTGAAAGCAATTGTAGAAGTGAAATATTGAAATTTCTGGCATTCCAATTTCTCAAGTTTAATAAAATATTTAAATAAAATGCATATAGAATCTTACTCATAAAGTTTATTGGATAATAGATTGTTGTTTTGATCTTTTTTATTTCTTTTAAATGTAATAGTTTGATATTAATAAAATTAAAATGAAGAATCATTCTCTATTTTCCTAATATTAACTCAATTCTACATATAGCCTTATAACTCCCTTTAGGTGAAGGAAAGGGGCGTCACATAGAATGATTTTTTCTTAAATCAAAATTTTTCATATTATGAATCAATAGAATTCCAAGACAAGATCTCCAAATTAAAGTCATTTTTATTCCTGTAATTTACTATTAAAATTAATGAATATATGCTGATAATAATAAATAGTTTATGTTGTAAGTTCTATGATGGTTAAAACAACTGGTACCATAAATAACCAACAATTTTTTTTGTATTTGAATTGTCAAACAAAACTTTGTTTATACATTTGTTTTTATCAATTATGCCTATTGTTCATGTTCGGGATGATAAAAAAGTTGAATAAAGGAAAGTATGTTTTGTCAATGAGATTGAGATTGTTCATGCTCAACCCGATTATTCATGATCCAAGCTGAACAAGTAAACCTGCTTATGTTTGGCTTGCTTGCAACATTATGGTAGAATTTTGATTTGTTCTTCTTACTATGTTGGTTCTGTTGGTAGTTTTAATTTAATTGTTGGCAAATTAATGCTTTTGATGGTTTTCGACATCTACACTTGTATTTTGATCGTGAAATTTAAGTCTACTAATAACTTTTTTTATTCTACATTATAACCCTCTTCACGTTTCATGTTTTCTATTTGGTTTATGTACTCTAGAAACACCATCCTCTTCTTGTTTCTTAGCCATCCTTGCACAATCATGGTATTTTTGAATTATGGTCAGGTTAGCTTATGGCATCTTGATTTTGTACTGAGAAGAGGTTCCTTCTGTCAATGTTGCATCTGAAAATATTCACTCATATGTCCATTGATTGGCTTAGTTACATGTTGAACCTATAGAGAGTCATAGTTGATGACCTAAGAATAGAGATGAAATTGATGACGTAATGCAGGTACTTATGACAGGTTTGGTTAGCTAGATGATACTCTTGGTGCCGCTGTTTTTGTGGTTGTGCCGAGTTTCTAGTTAAGGCCTGAATGACTAAGAATAAATTGCTTTCTGATTCTCTCTGTTACTAGGAATGTTTCATCTGAAGACATTTACTCATCTGTCCATTTATTGGCTTAGCTGCATGCCGAACCTATAGAATAGAGAGTCATAGTTGATGACCTAAGAATAGAGATGAAATTGATGACGTAATGCAGGTACTTATGACAGGTTTGGTTAGCTAAGATGATACTCCTGGTGCTGCTGTTTTGTGGTTGTGCCGAGCTTCTAGTTAAGGCCTGAATGACTAAGAATAAATTGCTTTCTGATTCTCTCTATTACTAGGAATGTTTCATCTGAAGACATTCACTCATCTGTCCATTGATTGGTTTAGCTGCATGCTGAACCTATAGAAAGTCATAGTTGGTGACCTATGAATAGAGATGAACTTGATGAGGTAA